CTCCCTTTTTCCCTCGGGGACAGGTTCTTCGTGGTAGCACTTTGCAGGAAGGGAGCAACTTGACGTATTTGGTTAAGTTCTCGCTATTGACCGGGACTTCCAGGTACCTCAAAGAAACATTTCGGAGGTAAAACCCCGGGATTTCTCGGTATCAAAAAAAAGTTTTTTCCCTTTTTAAGGACATTTTTTTGTAGCAAAGCTGGTCCCTCTATTATTATCCCTCAAACGGATTTGCTCATTTTGCTGAACAAAATCCCTCAGAATAGATGCCACTTTTCCCCGTTGCATCAAATTTTATCCCTCGATTATTACTTATTTATCGAAAAAATAAAGGGATTTTTCGTTTTTTTTGTTTTTTTTTCAGGCCTTTCGAGCCTCCTCCACTCACTCACTCATTCGACGTGGGCACGGGTTCACACCTCAATCGTGCGTACACGGGATTGGCGCACCGCAACTCGTTGCCTTCGTCACACAATTTTACATTTCGTCTCGAAAATTACCCGCCAATTTTAACGTCTTTCCTTTTCGCATCGCTTTTATACAGGTTTTTTTTCCTAATTTTTTTGTTTTTTTTACGCTTTTTTTTTTTGATACTTCATTGATTAGCCAAAGAAGGGACGCGGCGGAATCACTTGTGTTTGCATGTATGTTTGTTTGCCGCGACGGCGATTCAACTTGAGAACCAACGAAAGCTAGGAAGCTGAAATTTTGGAACTTAACTGTTCGGTACCATACAAGAGTCTTTTTTAATGCGCTTTTTTTGATAGTTCTTTGATTCACCAAGGCAGTTACGTGACGGAATCATTTGTACCTGTATGTGTCTGTCTGTTTGCTGCGGCAACGATTCAGTCTGAGAACCAATGAAAGCTGGAAAGCTGAAATTTTGGAACATTATGATCTTTAGTTCCATACAGGGGTCTTTTTTAATATGCTTTTTTTGATAGTTCTGCGATTAGTCAAAGAAGCAATATGATGGAATGATTTGTGTTTTTATGTGTCTCTCTGTGTGCCACATCGGTTCAGCCCGAGAACCAACGAATGCTAGGAAACTGAAATTTTGAAACTTAGCTCTCCAGTTCCATATATGAGTTTTGGGGCGTTAAAATCAATTTCTACTAATCTAGGGAGCTGAAATTCTGGAACGATGTTCTTACGAGTCCTGGGACGTTAAAAACGGCTTCCACTTCCTGCTACGCTTTATCCTAAAAAATGCGAAAATCCTTCCTCCCAAGACTGGCGACGAGGTCCAGTTGTGGTGCTGAATAGGAATGTATATGACTTAATGGACCGAAAAATCCCTGGTCATCGAATTCTTTAATTTAGTCTTACTTCATACTTGATACGGCGTTTCCGTCACTGACGCGCTATTGGCCTTCTCAAATGACTGAGCAGCGGACAACCAGGCCACTTTAGTTCTATCCTGAGCTCGCCTCATCCAAAATGTTCTTCCCGCTTAAAATTTAATCATATTTATATGTATCCTAATCCAATATTTCTATTTTGCATGCTAAATTACTGAGCCTTTGAAAATTTTTCGAATAAACGTTCTTTACTTCCACTTTTTCTGGAAAAAATTTGTTAACAATTTTCAATTTTAGGGAATTTTTAGCGAAAACTGTTAAAGAATATGAAGTGAGACAGTTTTGGGTTATCAGCAATCGTTGGAAAGAGTAGCATTACCCGCTGGCAAAGTGCAGTAACATAATAAATGAAGTAAAATAGGGGTTAGAAGGAAGTATATGGCAAGGGCATGTCATGTGTCTAGAAGTGTAGCGTAGTTGAGTGAATGCCCTAAGAGAACGCTGTCTTCCGGTCGATATAATTTCGTTCAAATTCGCCGAAAACAACGAAAAGATTGACAGGCCAGTGAACTGTTGGCGCGTGGACGCTTTTCGCTGAATAACAATTTTTTAATATTTTTTAGCTAGCAGTGCTTGTTTTCAACTGGCAAAAAAACCATACGAGAAATATTGCCCCTGTTTTGTAACGAACATATAAAATATCAACGAATTGGCTATGCGCGAATCCTGAGCAATAAAAATGGCAAGTCCACGAACACGGCGTATAATACGAGATCTACGAGCAGTTCCCGGTAATAACGTAAGTGATTGTTTTTTTGCTGGCAATTTTTTTCGTTTTTTCTTTTCCTCTTCCATTCATAAGCACTGCGGCCGTCATACTGACGGGGTCCAATCACCGTGTTGAGTTAAGACGTATATGACATAATGAACCGAAGCAGCTTACCTCACTTCTTATTTGCAACTTTTAGTATGACTTCTTATTTGCAACGCATTCATGTTATCAAAATTTCCAAGTGGTGGATTGCGGGCTGCACTGACGATTCCCACCCCCAATCCACACCGCATACTGTCTGTGTTTGCAGCTTGGGGATGAAACACAGACAGCCAGGTTCACACTTAGCTTCCCTACAGGTCCTCTTCACATCTTCTCAACTTTTTATAAAAAACATATGCGTTTTACTACCTATTTCATTTTCTCATTTTGTGGTCTTACGACCATTCATTCCAGGGTTATCATGGTCTCTATGAATTACTTAGTATGTAGATTTTTGAAGTAAAATTATGATTTATCAAGATTGATAGAAAATATCGAAAAGCTTCCAAGACCGTCCAATTAATTGTTATAAAGTTTCCATGTTAGTGATACTACGGGTATTTTCACAAAAGCCTGGCGTATCTGCGCCAGGCTTTTTGTTCCTGGGCTGCATACCTTCATCTGTTTGTTCCCGATTAATAGAAAATACAAGAAATATTGCCCTATTTTTGTAACGAACGTATTATGTCAGTGGGTTAGGTGTGTGCCAGTCTGTAGTTCTGAAAATCATGAAAAAGAAAAAAGCCAAAAAAGAAAAAAATTATAAAAAGTTTCAAAACTGCTGGTTTTTGTTCAGTTTTAGTGACTTTTAGAAGTGCAGAAAGGAGTAAACTCTAGCCTTCACTTTGGCACTTTGAGTTGTACTGTTTCATCGTAGCGTATTTTCTTGCGTTCAGCATAACTGCCAACTTCCCCGTGATTTCTGTGGCCGAAGCTGCATTTCCTGGTGATCAGCTTGCCAGCATTTTCCCCTTGCCTTTGTTTTCTAGAGAGAAATACTATGTGCGTGTTGCATCTCAGTCGTAGAGATTTTTGGGAGTGCGCGAGAAACTTGGGTCCCCTATGACTGAAATTAGGGTGAGAGAGCTAGAAATTGTGGCTGAAAATAGGGGATGAGGAGAAAGACAAAGGAAGATTCTGTTTTTCTTAAAATCCCGAAAATGCTTCTTTTTCTGTTGCAGGTGTGCTTCGAATGTGGTGCAAGCAATCCTCAGTGGGCAAGTGTAACATACGGAATATGGCTGTGCTTGGATTGTTCCGGTCTGCATCGTGGCTTGGGTGTGCATGTCAGGTGCTGTTCAGTTAACCTACCGACGAAAGCTCGTGTAAAATTGCAAGCAACGCACCCCTCCCCGTCGTCCGCGGTAGATTTAGCTTCCATTAGACATGAAAGTTGCAGTGATTCTTTGACTGAATTTTTTAGCAGTGATTTATTTAGGCGGGGAAAATTGCCTTTTTGCTTCTTGGAATGGGAAGGAAACGGCGAAAGAATGAGAAGCCCAGTTAATTTAAAATAAAACTTATGTAGTCGATACAAAATTTAGCTAGAAAAGCATGACATTGATGAAGAAAGCACAAAAAATTTGGGAGAAAAGGTAATAGACATATAGTTAACGACGAAAGACATATAGTTAACTGTAAAAACGCCCAGTTTGACCCCGGGGTTTTCGCTTCACCACCTTGGAGGGAAAAAGGAGGAAAGAGGGGGGAGTGGGGGGAAGAGAGGGAGGGGGAAAAATAGAAGGTCTGTTTGAGCTAAGTGCTTTCCCGTTTTCGAAAGTTTGTTATTTTGCCAATGAGGGAATTCCTAAATCATGCTGCACTGTGATGTTTCTATGGCAGTTTTTGTACATGTTAATGATGCTTAGGTTTTTGCGAATTGTTTATGTTAAGCATATGTAGTTAGGTAATACCGGGCTTATTCAATTAGAGCATATTGGGTATATATGGATAAGATATGAAGAGGAATTGTTGGATTATGCTGGTACGCATGGTACTGAGGTTTTTATTACCAACCCTCGTCTACCAAAACGCTGATATTCCTATTTGAAATGATCTTTTCGTGGGTAGGCCAATTATCACTTCTTGGTTGGACCTCTGTAGCCTCTTCTACCCTTTCTATTACACATGAATAATTGCTAAAATTTTTGCTCTGTCAACTCTTTCATTGCAGTTTTGTTCGATCGACAACAATGGATAAATGGAAGGATAGTGAGCTGAACAAGATGAAAGCAGGTGGCAACAGTAGCGGGTTAGAATTCCTGAAGGGTCAGCCGGATTATCGGCCAAGCTGGTCGCTTCACGAGAAATACAATTCACGAGCTGCTGCACTTCTAAAAGATAAGGCATGCTGATTTTTGAGACTACTGTTTTGCAGTATGTCAATCTAATAGGTCAAAAAAAAAAGTTGTTGGAGGTATGAATAAAGCAAAAATTAAGGAAATTAGCAGGGCAGGGATGGTAATCGCAAAAATCTACAAAATTTGTTATAAATCTTCAGTTCTTGGCTCAAATTGACAGCATATGTAGATAATTCTATACACGAATTTGAATTCCGGAACCTCTATTCCACACAGGCAAGCATTATGCTCCTGTTTTTTCTTGTCAGCAACGTTCGAAACCTATAATCCTAATTAGTCATATAACGCATTTCTGTATGGAAACTTTGTATATCCGTGAAAATTTTTGTCGGGTACATTATTATCCCGGGAACCACGGAATCTACGGAGCTGAAATTTTAGGGTAATGACCTCTCACCCAAGCTTGATCTTGCATATTCATAAATATTGATCAAGGGTGATCGAAAGATGTGCATTCTAGGTGCTTGCTGAATCCGAAGGTCGTGCATGGTCAATTGAAACATCACCTGCGCAAAACTATGTCCCAAATGCACTGATGAATTCCTCCTCACATTTACTGGGTAGTGGTAGCAACAGTTCGACTAGCCTATCAGCATATTATGGTGGTAATGCAACTCAAATTGGAACCGATTCGTATAATTCGGAGTTTGGTGAAAGGTGATTTTTTTTTATGAAGAAATTTCATTTTGACTAAAAAATCTTAATTTTTTTAAAAAAAAACTCCTAGACTAATGGTACTCAGCTATCTTTTAGCTTTTTTTTGTATTAGTTCCGATAATATTTTTCTCTTGTTTTTCGGGGAAAAACAAAAATTTTTATACGCTTTTATCAAAAAATGCATGATATCAAGTAGAAAATTACAAGCGCCTTGACCCCAAGACTAATGGTGCTCAGCTATTTTCTAGTTTTTTTTTTTGTATTAGTTTTTTCATATTTTTCTCTTATTTCTGGCGGAAAACAAGAATTTCTATACGCTTTTATCAAAAAAAGCATGAAATCAAGTAGAAAATTACAAACGCCTTTACCCTGACTGATAAACTCAGTAAAAACTGCGAAAAGAGAACGCAAGAAAACGGTTTCTTCACATCTTTCTGCATTCATGTCGACTCCGGCTTGTGTTATTGATACATTAGCGTTGCTGTGTTTTTTTTTTTT